TGACACATAAACCAATTGTTTTAATGAAAAATGCTGAAGTCACTCCTGAGAAAAAAATTTTTTCGAGAGGCATTTTTTCGCTGACGTCACCAGCGTGCACTATGGAAAATTAAAGCACGCTCCCACAATTGAATTTGATTGCAGGAACTTACAACTGGGCTGTCTTATTCGGGAATGCTATTTATTTGTGAACGGAAACCGAAGTTAAACACTCAGTCAGACTGAATACTTGAAAAAGTATTTGTTTAAACATAATTATACCGCACTCACTGACACGTCAAACACCAATTACAGCGAAACACTTATTATTCTAATATACTCTATCACCTTTGTTTGTATTTAATCTCTAAACTACAACTAACACCCCTTCTTGATAATGAGTCCAGATTACTTCGAAACACAGTAGTTTTATTCTTCTAATATTTATTATCAAGGAATTTACAAGCTGTTATAATTGTACTTGTGTTTGGTGTGAATGCCATCGCTATAAGAGAAGCCTGAGTGAACGCTCCTCTAGCGTCTTGTTGCAATTTAAACTAATTGATTTTTACAAATGAAGCATTGTATTGTCCATCTTGTATTGCAACAGCCTTGAATGAATCAACTGTCATCTAAACTTGATTTCTTATATCCAGAGGCTATCATTTTATGGTTTTGTTAAGGTGTCCGCTGGCCAGTAAAATACTGTTTCATGCCCTAGGAGACGTATTTCTGCGGTGTTGCATGACTCACACAAGGAAATGTATATTAGAGACCACGAGGTTTGCCGTAGGTTTGAGTCTTAGAATTAGAAAGGCGACCTTAGGGTATAGCTTCTAAGCTGAGATTTGTGGATTAAAATAACAATAGCCCAGTGTCGCCTGAAGAATAGTTTCCTAAAATCTAACAGAATTAGCTTTAGATACCGAACAGAGAAGATCATGGCGGCGACAAAAATGGTGGATGTCAAAACAATTTTTTTCCTTTTGTTGTTTCTGACAATGGCATGCCAAGGTATGTTTTTGTGCAATTATGTTCGTGTTTTGATTCAAATCCTGATCACATATTTTGTGGCCAATTGCCCGTGGGTGTTATTGGGGACAATGGCATAAATTCTAATCAGTCATCACTTGAAATATGGCACGCAACAGGTAACCTCACTTGTGTTCAATTGTAAACAATTCACACGGGCTAATGACGAGTGCTTTGGCAACCTTGCACTTTGCCACGTAAATGGCTATGAAACTTATTCTAGTGATTGTTCTTGTACACTTGAAAGCTGCTTGTTTTCCTTGGAACTTTACCATGAACTGCTTATCGTCCACATGAATGCACTTAGTGAAGCTAGATTGTTGCTGACTTCAAATAGAAAATTACACCACTGGCCTAAACGATTTCATGAACAATTATTTTTATAAAAGACTTAGACTGAATGCGTGATGTTGCAGTTGTGGCGTGAATTCTGCTATTTGAAACATGAATTGGTCATACAGTTGAATAAGTTTAAATAAGTGTTGTGTGCCTAAGGGACTTCAAGCATGCACTTGTGTTGCAGTGTAAATATTTATTTGAAAATGCCTGTAGTAGGACATATTTTTATCCATAAAATTCCCAAAATTGTTTTGAACCAGCTAAATTAGGTAGCAGGTTTTCACTGACTAGTACATTAGGCTTTTATCCTAGAAATAAATTGCAAGTTCACTCTGTCATAAGCCAAAATGTCTCATTGAATCACAGATCATTTTAGCCCTAAACACTCAAACATCAATATCAGTATTCTTAATTTTCTTCTCTATACATTTCCTTTGATTAACTGCCAAGAAAAAAATTGTTCAACAATCAAAGCTTGTTAGGTTAGCAATCATTTCCTCTATTCCCATCATCTTTATGAATGATTCCGCTGTGTTACTGTAAGGTGAAATTAGTTACTGGTTACTCCTAGGGTTTAAAGGGGAAGAAAACTTAACAATTACAAACAAGAACATGTTAGTGTAGGCAGGGCTGTGGTCTAGTAGCACCTGGTGGCCCCTGACGCTTTACTTTTGCTCTTGAGGGACTCAGGAATCTTAGTTCTTTCATAAAAAGCATATGCTGTGCACCTTGGATTTTACAGTTTCAGAGCACTGGATCCCTTCAATTTTTCTCAGAGCACAGCCTTGGACTAGGTCAAATATACATGACAGATTTTAGAAAATAACAGCATTATCATTTGTCTCAGGACCTGGGTTTCATGAAATATCTCCGGACAGTAAAAGACTTTTTTTTTTGCAATATTTTTTTTTTGCAGTAGTATATAGATTCACAAAATAATTACTGTAAAAAATGATTTTGTCTCTTAGTACATCTGATACCTCGTTGTTAATAATTTGTAACAAATATGCCGTGTTAAACAGATGAAACAGGTACTGACTTTCTGAGCATATTTTTGTGTTTCCCTCCTACTTTTCTATAGCTCGACAACTTAATAACTTTTCTTAGCAGGGCGTGACACTAATGGTAGCCCACTAGCCACAGAGTAGTAGAAATTCAGTTTTTGGCTGGTGGATTTCAATTCTCACCAGCCAGTTAAATGGCAAGTAAACAAACTGAAATTGTCGTAACATCTAAGATGTCACAACCCACTTTGCCAGCAAGTTGAAAAGTTTGTGTTGAGCTCTGTTCTTAGTGATACTCTAAATGGTTCTCTGTCTCTAATCTTGCATTTTACTTGTGAATGTAGCTGTAAAATATCTCCTCCTTTGTAAGCATTGTAAGGGTCATGCACTGATTTACTTGATGTGCATAATTATACATTATCACTATAAGTATCAGCTTCAGAATCAGGCGCAACACTCAGGAATGCTGGAATTGTCTGTCTCCTGCAGGAGGTCTTTTTTCTCATTGCTAGGATTATTTGTCTTCCAAATGAGATCTTATTGGGATTATTTGTCTCCCGAAGAAGTTTTTTTGTCCCACTGCTTGGATTCTTTGTCTCCTGAAGAAGTAATTTTGTCCCATTGCTGGTATCATTTATTTCATGATGGAAGTTTTTTGTCACATTTCCCACACTGGTTGTCTCCTGAAGGAGTTCTCTTGTCCTGTTAGTGGAATTTTTGATCTCCTGGAGGAGGTTTTTTGTCCCACTGCTAGGATTGTCTGTCCCCAGTCGAAGTTATTTTGTCCCATTGCTGGGATTATTTATCTCCTGAAGGAGATTTGTTTTTCCAAAGGAATTACTGAAGTCTTTAAAACATTTGCAAAATGCCAAACAATGGACTCATGGGAAAAAGCTTTCAAAATATTCCATTGTTGCACTGCAGACTCACAGAGCTTTTGGGATAATGTCCATGCAGGTTGCTACCCAACCAGTAGACAAAAAATTGATGCATTTAAGAGGCTTTAATTTATCTTCTGAGACAACAGTAGGTACTGATCAAAAATGCTTCAAAATAGTAAATAATTTAAAAAAAACTGAACAGAAAGTTCTGCACCTTTTTGGAATCCACATACACCACTTTCATAAATGGCTGCCGGATTGATATTCTTTTGTTTAAATTCAAAATAGCCTCGCTAGCCTCGCTTGAGATATTGCATTCTTTTGAATTTTGAACTGGAGAACGAGGCCAGAAAGGCTAATTTAAATTTAAACAAAAGAATATCAAGCTGGAAGCCATTTTTGAAAGTGGTCAATAGTAAATCAAAAATTACATGTTACATTTAACGTACAAGTGAACACACTCGTATGCTCATATCTTACAATATGAATATTTGCTTTTGTTTTTTGCTTTTTTTTTTGTCAGAGTTGACCCAGTTCATGATTGGACAACTACAAAAAAAATTAAAAGTGGAAATTAAAACTACATACGATTTATAGACATCACCACAAAACATGCCGATTGACTTGAAGAGAATCAATTGCATGTAGTTAGCATAAAACTTTCCTGCAGAAATCGAACATGTTGGCTCACGCCAGATTGTCACACAAGATCAATTACTTATGGCTGGTATTTTGTTACAAATCAGTTAAAAACAGCTAGGCCAGCAGACTGTATTATGACAAGCCTTTTGGAAAGTTGCTCTGGGCAGGGGCCGTAGCTTTTTATCAATCAAATTGGCATGCAACATGTATCTTTAAGCTGTGCTATAATTATACATTTGGTATGTGGCTGATATAACAAATTGCTTTCATGTTTTGCTGCTCCATTATGTAAGCTTTGGCCAAGTAATTCTTGTTAAGTTTTCCATGGCATAGTCTAGAGACCATGATGAGCTTTAGCCAACACTGCCACTTGGCTAACTTTTTTTATCTGTTTTCTCTTTTGAAATGAGTTATTGGAGTAACAGAAAAAATCATGATTGTAACAATCATATTCGAGTTCATATGTAGCAATTTGCCAGGGAAGTTTAACTGTAATTAGTATGATATTTTTAAATACATTGATCTCACTGAAATGCCATAGGGACTATGTAATTATTTTAATGTCAAATTGTGGCAAAACTATTCTCTGATATAACAGGTCTTATGAATATTCCTGTGCGAATTGGCCAAAGAGCATCTCTACAAGTTCCATTGACTCAACTGGAAAATGGGACTGGGATTGGTTGGTTTTATTGCCCGACTAAGAACTGCTATCCACATTGGAACAAGCATTTTTTGGCTGAAATAATATTTCAGAGAAAGGCACGTGTTGATGATCCAAACTTTGATTCCTACCTCAACGGGACTTTGGTCATCAAGAACGTCCCCCCTAGCTATGATGGAAGTTACTTTATGGCCCGAGTACACCTAAATGGAACAGGCAAGACCTACACTTATCATCTTAAAATTACCAAAGGTAATGTGTACAAGAATCTTAATCACTTTGCTCTCACTAAATACTGTCTCCAAGCATTTGAAGAAACTACCACACTAGTGATTTTCCATCCATAATAGAAAAGAAAAATGGCATCTGACATATTATATCAGTGTTCTTAAAGGAGTGTTTTTTTTATACACTGTAGGCGTGTTATTCAGTGGGAGGGGGCAGTGGACTTACAAAAGGAACACAAAGGGTTCTGGAGAGTCTTTGTTTGTTGACATAAAAGAAAACAAATAGAGAAAGTTGGACAGACCTTGAAGTAGCTTATACTGACTTGTTTTAAAAAATTTGATGCTGGGTAGGCATCTTCTCTTTTAGTCTTAAATCTATCCACCATTTGTTACCTCTAATAGGAAAATTTGAATTTGCTTTCTATTTCCTTATCATTTAAAAGCCTTTGCCCGAGTTACCAAATGCGTGACTGCCTAAATTAACGAGAATGTATAGTTTGTATATGTCACATCTGTCAGTGGTGGATCCTCATCTCTTGTCTCTTCTCTCCTCTCCTCTCGAACCCCTCTTTTCTTCTCTTGGTCCCTATCTTACTTCTCTTTCCTAATTTCCACCTACCCACCCCTACCTACTTACCTGCTTAACTGGTACATACAGGCTGTGTAGATGTCACAATCAAAATGATGTTTTCTTTGCTCTATACCTTTTGTTTACATTTCTATTTCATTAATATTCATATTTTCGATTATCCGAACTCTTGATTATCCGCACTATTTACCGAGGTCCCGACGAGTCCGGATAATCAAGGTTCGACTGTAATGTGTACATCATAACCACTTTGTGCGCAGTAAATGCTATCTTCATCCTTAATTCGGTCTTCTTTCTCTATTATAGTATGGGAAAATGGAGCCCTAACCTCTTTATTGATATTAATCAATTTCCTCTTTTTTTTAGGGTCCCCAAAACTGACTTTTGTGAGTCCAAAAGATATTTATGTGTATGTAGGGATGGACCTATATTTAGAAGCTGAAGTAGAAGGTTACCCCTATCCATGGGTTTCTTTGAGCCATGATCAACATGTTCTACAGAACAGATCCAATTTCAGGTCTTCTAAAATACTGCGGAAGGTTAATTCAAACATCACTAAAGCCGACGGTGGTCTCTATATCATATGTGCTGGAAATGCCTATGGAAATCACTGTCTTATCATGAGAGTTCATGTGCAAAGTGAGTGTTTCAGTTTAGACATTGTTAAAGTACAGGTTAAGGATTATTTAACACAAAGTCCACGAAGGAAATGAAGAAACTACTTCTGTAACGATACCAATTATAAATCCTTAAGAGAAAAGAAAAACACCATCAGACATTTTATCAGCGTTCCTAAAGAAGTGTTTTTTTATACAGTGTAGGTTTGTTATTAGGGACCTTAAGCAAACCACGACGGCGGCAGCAACGAGGATGTGGAAAAACAAAAGATTTAATTGGCAAAACAATAGCTCAGCACGTGCGTTTTTAAACTTAGTACATTTCTTAGCTGTCCTTTGCAAAGCAACAACGTGAAATCACCAAAATTTGCATCGTCTGCGAACCGAAAACGCGACGGCAAATTATTTTAATTTAAATTTGGAACTCAACGCTATGTGGCACCGTATGAGATAGTAAACACATGCAGCCATTTTCGAAATTTTAATTAAAAGTAAAAATTCATTTTTTAATCCACGCCTTCCTTGACGTTGCCGTCCTGACTGCTTCAGGTTCCTATTGAGTTGGAGGGGGCAGTGGAAACAAAAGGAACATAAGGGGTTCAGGATCCTTTGTTAGCTGACTTGAAAAGAAAACAGATAAAGAAAGTTGAGGACAGACCTTGAATTGGCTTATATTGACTTGTTTTATTTTAACGACCAAAATTTCATGCTGAGTAAGCATATTCTCTTCAAGTTTTAAATCCATCCACCATTTGTTACCTCTAATAGGAAGATTTCGATTTGCTTTCTTAGTTTCCTTACCATTTAAATGCCTTTGCCTGAGTTACCAAATGTGTAACTGCTTTCATTAAAGAGAATGTGCAGTTTGTGTATGTCACGTCTGTCAGTGGTGGATCCTCACCTGTTTTCTCTCCTCTCCTCTCCTCTCCTCTCCTCTCATTCTCTTTTCTCTTCTCAGTCCCCATCTTACCTCTCTCCCCCACCTAATTTCCTTGCCTAGTCCACCTCCCATTCCCTCTCCACCTACCCACCCCCTACCTTCCTACCTACTTGCCCAACTATTGTCCTGCCCGCATATCCACCCACTTGCTAACCTACCCACCAATCTACCTGTCTAACTAACCTTCTGCTCCACCTACCCACTAACCTTATTGACTTGCGTACCAACCCACCCAACTATCTTACTACTCACTCATTTCCTACCCACCTACCTACCAACCTTGTTGCATTCCTGCCTACCCACCCATTCATATATGCACTCTACTTACCCATTTACTAACCTACACTCCTTTCTATTCACTTGCCTGCCTGCTGACAGACAGACCGACCGACAAATGCTGACAGACAGACACACAAACACCGACACACAGACAGACAGACACACAGTCACACTGACACGCAGACAGACACAGACGTACACATACACACATACACATACATACACACATACAGACCTACAGACACACATACATACATACAGACAGACAGACACATACATACAGACACACACACACACACAGACACACACACATACATTATTGGGTCTCCTTTAACAGGGTTCTCAGATACAGCTAACCAACCTAACTCTGCAGTATCTACGATTAAAATTTACGATCTTAATAATTAAAAAAACAGTTATGTCTCTGCATTAATTTAAATATGATGTGAATAGAATATATATATAGCCAAAAACTATGCGATGCGGGCGTGTTTATAAGTCATGGATGGCATTGTATCATTGCAACAGGTTTTTTTTTGGTTCCGTTTTATTTTTCTTTCTGATTCTTTTTATGCCTTTATCAATGATTTTGTCATGAACTTTTTGTTTTTTTCGACTCAGATATCCCTATTCCCACCCTTCCACCTTCTTCAGGTTTGTAAACCATCGTTACTTTGCAACAATCAATGATTGCCCTGGGTAGCCTTTTGATTATCAGTCAGGTGACTGTTACTAATTGGTTGTACATGCTTTGAAATGTTGGACTTATTCAGCATACATAGAATCACTTTTTAAACTAATTTTTAACCTTTCTGTGGCGATCTCTTGAACGGCGATGTGTTTTGAATCGTTCAGCAATGCATTAAAATACTCTACAGATACACAATGTAGTTTTCACAAAGCTAAGATTGTACGTTTGATCTCTTATGAAGGTGATGTCACGTTCCCGAGGTCAGATGCTCCAGGTTCTTCAAAGTCTCCTCCACCAGGTATGTATGCTTTTTGCTTGGGTTTTCTTTGACAAGGATTCTTTGGCATTTTATCAGTATTTTTGTTATTTATACTTTTTTCTTCTCGGATTTCCTTTAAATTTGAATTTCTTTTCGATTGCCTGCAGGGATGAAAGCGTAGTCTTATTTTTCTGACTCAATAGATATTTCGCTCTACTTTTATGTATCAAGCGCTGTAACACGGAAAAATCGAAACACAGACTTCCAATATATTAAACCTGTTTCGTGATTACTGACTCATAGGATATTTTATTGATAAGAATATCCTTAACCCTCGTATATATCCTATACAAATTTGCATAAGAGGCGTGGCGGCACGAGGATATCAGTTCGTTACGTGTATCGAGTGATGATAATTCAGCTCGGCGGATGATGAGTAGTTTCTCTTTTAGGGAGAGGTTGCATCGTTTACTAGCGCTGTTGTAGGGTGATCTTGATGAAAGGATGCGCTATGCAATAAATTGGTAAACGTTATTTTATTTAAGAGTCCAGATATGTTTGCTGAGTTCAGTAGAGTTTCTGTGTTTTAGGTGTCGGAATGATGCGGTGTGGTTTCTCTGT